CACGAATTCTGATAGACTTCATGTTTTTGAACAGTGCTATGGTAAAGATAAGTCTCCTCGGCCATTGATGACAAAACGGGAAAAATGTTGAACACATTTTCAGCGCGGATGTCTTGGCTTTCAGCCTAAACTGTTTTTCAGTATTCCATTTCTCTCTATTTTTCCTCGTGCTTCAGTGCCTGAGCTGATAACATTACAGAGTAGCTGCCGTGATGAAAACTGAAGAAGCCAAAAGTCCGAATATCTCGAAGCAGGCCATCAAGAAGAAAGTTGTGGCATTTTACTACGAGATTCGAGCTACTTTATCACGTTTTATCTGCAAAATATGTGGTTATCTCCTTTTCAAGGTATTGCAGAAGCCTCGACCTCGCAGTCATCTCTAAATGAACGATGTATTTCTCAGGTATTCCGCCGCCTGATGACTCGTTTGTTGATCAGCCCACTGCAGATGAAACGAATTGTTGAAGCGGAAAAAGTGCGGCTTCTAATATTCCTCTTGTTACTGTACAACAAATCGTAATCGTAATCAATTCTTCATCATGTAAAAGCATTCATTTATCAGCTTTCCAGACGGGTATACCACTTGTCTACCTTCCCCTTCACCGGTCTCATCTTGATTATCTCTTAATCACTTGGACTGCGTGGCACTTTGGTCTTCGATTGCCCCATATTGCTTCCGGTGATAACCTAAACCTCAGCGGTCTTGGGTTAGTTCAAATATTCAGATTCCTTCAAACTACTGTTGATTGAAATCAATATTCTTGATAAATTCATCATACGCCTTGATAGGTCTTGAATTCAGCTGGCTTCTGCGATCTACTGGAGCGTTTTTCATTCGAAGGCGCACAGATGAACACGATGAAGGGGGAAAAGATGCCTGCTATCGGTGGGTTTACATCACTGTTTATAATACCCATGCCTACCGGTTGCTACCCGTCCTTACTCCTGTGGTAGCGGAAGAAGGATGGACATTATAGAATATCGCTAGCCTAAACTGCTCATATCGGATGGTCATAGCGGCTTACTATTCCAGCCCATCAATAGATACTCCGTTTCTCGGCATTTCATTGTGATACCAAATTTCACTTTAATCCACGAATTCGCGGCGAAATATCACTTTTCTAGCCAAAATGCAAGGCTCGCTGTTGTCCATGCCTCGCTAGGCGCTATGCAAGCTCCGCCCCTGCAGCCACGCCCACATTTCAAAGTGGTCGTGATTTTTCCAAATTTCATTTTATAACTTCTGCTTTTATGACTTTTTCTTGCGCATTTGCTACTTTTGCGCATACAAGGCTGAAAAAAGGACGGCACATAACTCATGGGTAACTCCGATCCTTTTTTTTTTTTGAAGAAATTGTCGTAAATTCCGTTTTCTCATCATTTTCAAAGGCGTTGTTTGAACTCCCAGTCTTCATAGCAAAAGGTATTCGTAGACGGCGCTGATGCGGCATTAGGCTCCGCAGCTTCCTGCCCACCACTCTTTTTGCGCTTTGTTGGCGGGACTTTCGATATTCTTTTCGAGTTTTTCACATTTTCTGGACTGATACCTGTGAACACCCGACCGCTATGACGAAGCCTCCCCCTCTCCGAGCCGAGGCCGCATACTTTTGGGAAAATGGGCAAATAGGTGGATAGAGATTGAGCGTGGCGTTGCTAGCAATAGCGGTGGTCACGAAAAATGCAAACGGACAATGTTGTTAAGAAAGACGAGAAAGCCATAGCGCAAGCTGCAGAGTATCTAGCGGATCTGCACAGTATTTCAAAAGTGGGTGCGGGTTCTAACGGAGTGGGTGGAGCCACTTGCTACAGCCGTTGCTATAACAACCTAACGAAAGCCACTGCTTTGCGGCAGACCGCTCAATACTAATGAGCTCACTGCCCTAAGTGATAAATGGAGCGGTTGTTTACATTTGTTGTGTTAGCAGTGATAATTCATCTTGGGTCTATAAAAGACCCTCAGTGCGGTGTGATGCTCTGCGTCTCAAATAAAGGCACTCTCGTCCGAAGTCTCAACACTGGCGATCAGGACCTGAAGAAGAACAAACGCCGAAGCAGTTCAAGGAGCAGCCGTTCAACTAGAAGACTTCAACATGCCAAGCAGCGTTCCAGCCTCCTCAAGAGATGCACCCCAATGGATGGCCCAGCTTCTGAGCGCAATCCAGCAGCAAGGCCAAGAAGCTCAACAGCAGAACCAGCACGGTTCAGCAACCAGCCTCTAGCACAGAACCAGGCAGCTCCAACTAGCAGTTCCAGCAGGCAGAATCAAACAATTCAAACCAGCTCCCTGACAGGCGCTTTGTAGAGCAAAGGGTAGGGTCTGCACAACCTTTTGAAAAACCAGTTTCTTCAGATGTATATGGAGACCTGATGCGAGACCTACCATACTTCAACTACGACGAAGACGACGACTCAATCAACGTTCAGTGCGTGTTCAAACGAATATGAATAACGACACAAGTCCTGAAAATGTAGTAGTGCTTGCGCCCGACCTTTTAGAAAATTTCGAATGCAAAAGCCAACTGTTCCGCAATTAAGAGAAGGAGAGATGAGCAAAAAGTGGGCATGGTCAGAAGGCCGGGACTCAGTGTGTCAATTAGATGTGCCAAATATCCTGGTTTTGGGGTAACTTCCGTTTTGTGAAAAGAGAATGTGAAAGGGGCGAGTGGCAAAAGTCATAAAATATGAAAACGAGACTCAGATAAAATGTGAGCAGAGACTATTTTCAGTCAGAGTGCTTGTGCGAAATAGCAAAAGTGCAAAAAAAAGTCGGAAGAACCGAGTTCATAAAGTGAATTTTATAAAACCATGACCGTGCTGAGAAAAGGGCTGGGCTTGTAGCAGTACCTAGTGTGGTCCAGTTTATCAACGTACCCAGTGAAGGTGATCCGGTTTTAATTCAAAAAGAGTTCACTTTGAAATGAAAATGTAGAGCATTCGGCCCTTGCCTTCGTGGATGTTAACAACAACCAATGGAGATAGCTACGAAGATGCCATGACCCAACAGAAGCCGCAGCCAAGAGCCCGTCGGCCATCTTCCAGAAGATATGGAGTGCATAGATCTGCGCTGTTTATTGTCATCATCGTTAATAATAAGAAATGTTTCAGTGCTGTGCTTCATTCGTACATTGAACAGTTACTGAAAAAAGGGCTGAGCATAGAATTTTTCATAGAAGGAACTAGGTACGTTTTGACTTTTTTAGGTCGCGGTTTTTTTAAATGTTTTTTTTTTAGTTTTGTTTTCATGGTCTCTTTGTAACTTACCACAAGCGCTATCATGCTAGTGGTTTGTGGCCAAAAGCCTAGATATGGAAATTTCTCAGCAAAAAGACCAACTTTCGCGGTTTCACCAGCATTGTTCCCACTCACCGTATTTCACTAACCAAGAGGGGATTAGTGATCCGCTGTAGACTCCACGCATGCAACAGTATGCTAGATTTTGCGTGACTGAAAAATGATTTGGATTGAAAATGCGATTTCAGTTATTGATGAACTGATCCGAAGAATTAGCAAATTGAATAGTTTTTGATGTTGAATTAAAATAAAGTATTGATTACGACAAATCACTCACGTATTTCACGTATGACGCTGTAAGTGCCGACGCTGGTAAGTTAACTGCTATCGTTGTCATCGTCCTTTGAGGCTGGAAATCAAGCTGACGGCAACCGAGAAATATGTAGGTTTCCTTGCTGGAAGGTGTCCCGTATTTGGAGCCTTGGTTATGGCACTGCAACTAGACTAGTATGGTGGGTTGTTTGACCAGGTAAATCACAGATGAGGACTCTGCACCTCTTCGAGACCCTGGAAGCAAAGTTCTGCTCCAGAACGTCGTTCTTGCCCGAAGCGTTTCAAGTAACAGGCCTCAGCAGAAACAGTATGAGAACATACTTTTCTGCATTTCTTCTGCTCCTTCCCCATACTACTAATTTCATTGGCTTCTTCCGTTTTTCTACTGTATTTCGCTCACGTCTTTCCCTGAATTTTCCGATGACTGGTAAGGACTAATATCGTTGCTGAAGTTGGGTGCGATTGATCCCACCAGAACCAGTCGCTGACGGACTCAGTTTTTCAGCAATGTTCAATAAGTCTCCTCTGATAACGACTTTATATACGAACTTATTGTGATATATGAAAGTTTAGATGTCGGTTTGGTAAATCACAACTACCTAAACATGGACTTATATCTAATGTTGTAAAAGCCGTACAGGAGAGTGAGTTTTTCATGATAGCAGTTATCGTTTGAAAAATCAATGCTCGTTTACACCGCTAGTCCTACGATTCTTTGATTTCCAATACTCGGATTAAACACTGATTAGACGAGGCCCTCATTTTTTGCCTCTTTCTTCCCGGCCACACGTATTTATCCTGTTTTCGTGATAAAAACCGGCTCCGTGTGGAAGGCAAACGGTCGCCTCGAATTTAGCTAAGATCGTACTAGGATCACTTGTGCTTATTATCGCAGTTGTATAATATTATTTAATTCTTTTTTTCTTCAGGAACTATATCAGATTGTTATTTAGTACCGGTATCGTATACATATGACAGCGTTGCCGAAGGTGTGTTTTTGGACGAACTAATGGGGATACCCAAAGTAAGTTTCCTCTTGCTAGAGATATCTACAGGTGGAGAGGGGCCAAAAAAAGTCACTTCGACCGAGTCACATATCAGCAAAGTTTTCGCAGCCCAGACAGAGGACGTGGATACGAGTACCAGGGCGGAGAGATACTCAAGATGTTCCTCCATAAGTGGAGCAGGCCTCCCCCCCTTCGCCCATCACCTTCATGTACACCAAAATATGAAGTCATCTACAGTAGCAGTCTGACTGGAGAAGATTTTGGAATTCATGTCACCTCCAAACAGCTGCGAAACTTCTAGTATGGAGTCACCCATGGATAGCTACCTGGAGACCAGTACTCTCGATCTGGAAGACCTCCAACATCGAGCAGCTCCGACAACGTCGCCACGGTCTAGGACATCATCTTCACCACAGTCGCCAAGGCGCGGGTGATGGTATGGACCGTACCTGGAATGGAAAGACCGATATTTTCTTCGTGGACCCCGGACTAATGGTGAGCGCATCTGGCGGTCGACATCGAGCGGGCGGGGAGCAGTGCGGAAGAAAATCCTCCCGCACACTGTACTCTTGACAACTTTTGTACTGCTACAGGGATTGGGTGTCAACGCATGGAACCAAGGATGTTGGAAAACTCTCGCCATTTGGACAGGCTGAGTACCTGAAGAAGACGGAACATCTAAGTGTGTCACCTGATCTAAACGCCTTTCGAATTACCCGGTCCGGGCGGAGTTCAATAGGGTGGTCTACGGTGGCGGAGAAATCGACTATCTCGCTGATCTCAGGCACCACATCGCGGTCGCGTGCCAGAATCTCTCGATGGCGCTCGTCCAGTGTGGGCGGAGTATCACAATAGTATTTAATATGCTGTTGATTATGGTGGTAGAAATGTTCGATCACATTCAAATCAAGTGTAACTTATAGCGCCCTTTCTTATGCCAAGAAAGAAGATAGTGAGCTTTTTTGGCTCCGGCGCTGTATATACGCTGCGGCGGTCTGCTTTTATTTGCTTTTAACAATTTTGCCGCTGAGATCGCAGCAAAAAACAAAAAACAAAAACTTTTAAACGGTTACAACTTAGTGACAATTGATGAGTAGTCGGAACTATCTCTCAATCTGATTCACAAATCATTGCGCATATGAACCCTGAGAAGTGAAGTTTCCTCCTGTTCCATTCTAGCTGTTCATTAATGAGAACGAGAGAGTGTCCTTCGAGTGCTCTGACGGTGTTTTGGAAGTTTTTGGCAAAGTTAAGACGTTGTGGTGGCAGTGCGGATGCATTTTGGAAATCCCGTCCTGCTCACGGTATGTTCATCTTTGACTTCCTTGTTGTCGTATGGATATAGACTTTCTCATTACAGGATTACATGAATGCACTTCACGAAGCACTGTCATCTCGCAATGTCATGCCTCAGCTGAGTCGTATTCCCCACACAGTATCATACAGGTGCATCTTCGTTCTATAATTGTTTCAGAAATTCTGATCCAGGAACTTCATCATTTTCAGAGAACTTGTTCCCTGGCATGCAGGACATAAAGAAAAACCAGATGACAGGAGTTTAATACGAGCTATAGGCTACCATATTGTGCATGGTACTTGTTTTCTTCTACGATTTGTGAATTATTTTTTGTTTTCTTCCTTGTCACTTACTTTTTTCAGAGGCGCAGTCCATTATTTCCATCTCTTTGGTTTCTGTAATCTGTTCACTGCTGCTATGCAAGTTCCGCCAAGTTGGTTTTTTTCCATATGGTCATATACGAGTTTGTCCATTATTTGCCGAACTTTTAAAGCTGTTGTGATATTGAGAGTTCACGCAATGCAATCTGATGGTAAGGCTCTTCTAAGAGAACCATATAAGATACGACTAAAGTTTCTGGGGGAGGGGTACATTCTTGCTGACAGGGATTGCAGCACCCCTGAGAGCTCTTGGAGGGCAATGGATACGACTATGGGAAGTAGCGAGTGTGCGAGGTGCAACCTCCTCCCCCCAATCTCTCTCTCTCTCTCTCTCTCTCTCTCGTCCTCCTCTCCATCTCTCTCTCTCTCTCTCTCTATCTGTCTCTCTCTCTCTCCAACCTAGCGCGCCCAAATATCTTCTCTCTGCATTACTGAAGGCTGTTCTCTGAGGTTTCTGAAAATGTCTGTGCTATGTGTTGCGGGAGCTTTCAGAGACTAAATTCCCTCGGAGGTCGAGGCACTTTTCTATCTGTTCTGTGCTATGAGTTCGTGTAAGTCCACTTGAAAGAAAGCTGACTAAACCCTCCGCTGTCTTCAAGAAGGATGTTAATTGCCAATCAGCTGTCTCGTTGGTATCAGCACTTGGGTTCTTGAGATATTTTATTCAAAGATGGCAACGTACTGGCGAAACTTCCCCGATGAGCAGTACATAAAAAGCGCCATTATAACAGGTCGAGCCAAGTGTTGTGGGCGAGTTTCGAAGTCCGCTTACGCTTTGAAGGGGCTTTTTAACAGATATGCTTGGTGACAAGAGCTGTTTTCCTTGTGTGAACAATGCACGCAAGGACCGCAGTGTCTCTCAGGGGGAAAGTTAGGCAGCGTTCATACTTCGCGACAGCAGCGGCGATCGTGGCGACCTCGGCGATCGCCGCGATCGTTGGTACATGGCAGAGCGCGCCCCAACGCCATTACTGTGCTCCGAAGGCTTTTGGGAAGAAGCGACTCAATTTCTAGCTTTTTTCCTTCAACTGCAATTTTCTTAAGTAATGAAGTTTGGTTTGACACGAAGAAAGTGATCCGAAATTAATGGCTTTTGTTTTCTATTTTCTTTCTTGATTCAGGATAGAAATGAGCAAAAAGTGTGGGAGCTTCATTTAGGGTAGGTTTTTATTGTTTCTTTTTTCATTCGTTGAGCTTATTGTACATAAGGTTATAAAGTTTCACTTGTTGTTGAAAGTTTTCGCTTGTTGATGTTGCGTAAAATGATTAGTGTTTTGGTTGCTAAGGTGAGTTTTTCTTTCTGTTTCTTTTTTTTCTTCGTTGTTTGAACTCGACTTGTAAACTATGAATGTTTTGGAAGTTGGAACAGCTTCAGACGATAGGAATTTTTGAGGCGCTTGCATAATTGAAACAATAAAAACAAAAAAGAAACGGAAAGAAGCTCACCCAGGAAATGGAGTTGGTTTTATGCCGACCTAAAAAGAAGTGAAAACTTCCTTACCTCATATTCCAGATCCGCTCATGTTTAGAAAGTCGTAAGTTATCAGTTAGTAGCTGTTATTGACAGGAAATAAGGTCACACAGGTTGGATTTCCTTATTTATTAAGCGAGCAGTCCATAATAGCGTTTGGGCGCGCTCTGTCACGCACCGACGATCGCGGCCATCGCCGCTGCTGTCGCGAAGTATGAACGCCTTAGCGCTGCGTCAGTGAATAAACGAGATAAAAAATTTAAAACTGTGTTACTGGTGGCTGTCAGAGGCTAACTGTTGGTCCGCACTTGTCGACTAACAGTGGCCAGGGTTGATAAAAAATTTTGAAAAGAATAAAGTCTTCGTCATCATTGATGAACCCTTGGCGGACGCGGCCACGCATTTACTTCCATTCAGAAACTCGTAGTGGCTTGAATGAGATGTGCTACTACCTGGCGGGGCCAGCGATGTGCAGTCAGCGTTATTATCCTCCCAGACGAGTCTGGTATCAATTCACCGTCTCCGGAAAGTAGAAGGCTTGGCTGACCTAGGCGGGAGTCGGCCGGGATCTGAACCCGGCGCCGCGCAAGTGGTAAGCGCGACACTTGTCACTACACCACCTCCTGCCCGCCAGAGTCATACGTCTGATAAATTTATGTATGGCGGTCTCTGCACTCACAAGGCATTAGTCGTCTTTGACCTCTATAATAACGGCGGCTGTTGTGAGACCACGAGAGGGGGGGGGGGGAAAGGGTGTGGGGAAAATTTAACAATTTAAGACTTCCCGTGGGCGCGTTAACCCATCTAGACGAGCTCTCTCGATTGACAGTTTTAACCACTGATAGCTTGGACGAGGCTTGCTGCAGCCTCGTACGAGTTCGCAGTTTCATTCCACCACAGTGAGGACTTGTAAACCGAACTAGCGAAAGTGCAAAATGCCCCCCCCTCCTCGAACTGCGCCTTTAATACTTCCTTTGGAAAATAAAAAAAAATCAACAATCGGCCTCAATCCTAAAAACGAAACCGAGTCTCAATTCTACTTCTATTGATTCTATTAATCATTATGTTGAGCTTAATTCAGGGTGTTTCTATGACCGTGTTATCAGCTGACTGTCAATGGTTGTGTGATCAAATAGTAACTGACGGTACTGATGTGGTGGGGTGGCACAAAGGAGAAACATGTGGCCGAGATGCGGTTGAGGTATTTGTCTTGTTCCTAACTTATGAGTTTTTCCAAGTTTCCTTTGCGTCATGTAGATGGCTTCATATCTTTTTTTTTAGTACGCTTTGCGTTCATGACACACATCCTTTGACCGCCATCTGGGCGAAAATGCTGGTGAAGACAGCGTTCATCCTATTCTAACGCATCGTCAGCTGATGAACTTGGCATACAATAAAAATGCGCTCGTTCCTCTGTTCGCTCTACGCTCTGCTATAGGTTTGCTGGAATTTTATGTCTCGTTTGTTTCATTGAAGACACTATCTCATTTTGTAAAAGGTAATCAGCCTGATTTTTGGCGCCACAATTGATGTCAGGGTACTGACTTTTTGAGTTTCCACTCGAACGAAGCCCTTTTCGAGATGTTGTTTCTGTGGTGTACTTGCTATAGCTCCAACAAAAATGTCTCATTCATTACGCCCTTTGCCAGAATATTTATACCAAGTCGACTAAATGCTGCTGTCTCGAAGTGATATAGTCTTGAAGGATTAACCCGTACACTCACCTCCGTGGCCTGCCTTGCCATGATGCGAAGTGAGATGTAGTAGTAGAGTGCAAGTTTCTTTGCTCAAATGCACGGAACTGGACTGGAGAGCAGACTCGGTGCCGTCCGGCCAGCCGCCCTCCTAGCCATAGCCAGACGCGCTACATCTACGCCCTCTCACTCTTGGCTCTTCTCTACAGCTCAGTGTGTGTTCGCTGGACTTCGGTATCGACGAAGTGCTGCAACTTGAGAATAGCGCGGGCAGAGTATAGAAAAGTTCACCCGTGTTCCATTACCCGGATCCCGTACACTTTTGAGCGGAGAAAGTGACACGCTACTGCAACTGCGGGCTCACTCGCCTCGCATAAGGCACGGACCCGTTCTCGGAGGTGAGTGTACAGCTTGCCTCTGAGAAAAGAAGTCCAGAGGAGGGGTAATCGTGGGTATTACTTGATCGGCAGTATCTAATGGGGAATATGCCGGTTGTTGGGAGTTTGCCGGTAAATGCTCATTATCGAAGCGTGACCACTTATCAGATGGGGACAGTAGTATATTAGAAGTTTTTATGTACATCATCTGGTTTGTTGATGACTTTTGGAGCGGATCGATTATCGAACAGCTTCGGCTATGATTAACAGCATGGGGAACTTCATACCCTTCAAATGAGAAGGATCTATGGGAGTAAACGTAAAGTGTAGATGGACCCTGTTAAGAGTTGCCAATTTTTTCCCTGCTTCGGATGCCAAAAAATTGTTCAAATGGTTCCGTTCTTAATATTTTGGAGCAGGAAATTCCAGTGCATCGTGATTTGCATTTTTAGGGTTGACCATGATTTCTCGCAGTGCAGGTCGCCACCTATTCGACGAGGTTGTGGAAGACATAGAACTTATATGTGACTGGATGCAGTTTGAAGTGATATTCTGCAAGGTGAAGTGTGTTGAATTGTTTTCCTGACCAACGCTTGAAGCGAGTGATTACAGCCATGTGAAGATCTGAGAGCGGTGATAGCGATCGCTCTTGGTAGAGGCGGTGTGAGCCATGTTCAACATGGAGAGTTGAGAATGCATGGTGATGAGGAAGACGTCTTTGCTGGTGGCGACGAACCTCAGCTCCAGGTTCGTCGTACAAGTTCTGCTTTCTTTTTCGTAATTTTACACTTACACGTAATTTACACTTCATCTCTTCACTCGTGCTTAGGGTAGGTATCGGGCAAGAGAATCGTAATGCCGCGCTGGGGCGTGATAAGCGGCGCTGCACGTGCGAGAGACGAATCTTCCTAGGCGGTCGTTCGAATCGAGTACCAAAGAAACAGGAAAGATCTATACTTTTTGGCATGGAGTTTACACTTCGGTTGAATTCATACGATCTCGCTGCTTCAGTAGCAAACTAATGCACATCGATTACTTGCCGCGATGCGCTGCATCT